TACGCGGTCAGGACGGTTCGAGTAAGTGATATTTCGGAACAGAAACTAGTGATATTTCGGAACAGAAACTAGTTACTCGAACCGTCCTGACCGCGTAGCTCAGTTGGAAGAGCATTGGGCTAGTATTCCAAAGGTCGTAGGTTCGAATCCCACCGTGGCCGGGCATATTTTTCAAGCTCGCCCGGTGTGGATATATACTCAGAGTAACACCACAAATATCATATTCACCTGAGTACACTACAACAACACAAAAAATTCATAATGTAACTTGTTTTCTAAAACTTTGTTATCTTTCCCGCGGTATATCAAGATATTGGACTTTGTTTAGCATGCAAATATGACTTAAATGACGTCACACAGCATAATGTTTTTCTGGAGAATGCTGGTTTTTAGCTTGATAATAATATACATAAAGATATTACTCGACTGTGATTGGTTGATTTCAGTGCAGTTAATCCCAAACAGCAGTGTAATTTTTTTGTTAGCCCGTGTGCAGGCCCAAGGAAACTGATAGTGGGCCTGCAAGCAAGGCCCGGTATTTTGTAAAACGCCCCTTTTCATAACGCGCCCTATTCGCGCGTCAATTGTCAAAAAAGAACCAATGACAGCACCCAGAGGAGTGAGGATTATACCGGCATGCAACGCGGTCAGGGGCGGTTTATTACATATTATTGATTTCTCGCTCTGCGCCGTCATTGTTCGGTCGGCTTTCGTTGTGTTTACACCTCGAGGTTTTGAGAGATTCAGAAAAGATTTTATAGAAAATAAATTGTAAAATGGTGAATTTTTGCACTATTTGTGGAAAGAAAGCTTCGTTTTTGGGTGGACACGAGCTTCTGTTTGTTCACTATGTGTCAAAACAGCCTTTAATCTTGATTCCGGAGGGATTACCGTGTGATGAACTTGAATGCCGTGAGGTTCATGTTTATAGTTTTACGGATGGTTTGAAGAATAGACCTTTGTCCAGCTGTGGTTAACGGGATAAAAATGATGAAATTGTTTGCTGATTGCGGTAGTCCTGTACTGGTACAAATTCACTCTAGTTGTGTTATTGATGATTTTATATATAAAATAGAAATATAAAAATCCTGTCATACTGTATTATACCTAAATTTAATATATAAAATACAGTCATCTACGATGTGATTGATCTATTTTGCTTAAAATTGTTGTAATACAGCTGTATTAAACGTATTTTTATTTCATATCATGTAGTTCTTCGACCCTAATGATCCACGGGAAGGAGGTAACAAAGTATATAACAATGTTGTGGGGAGTTTGATATTTCAACATCACCAACATCCCAAGCAATCCCACCATGTGACCCAGATAGTCAAGATGATGAGCTGGACAGTGTACTTCCACCAATAGATTTACATCAGCCAATTGATTGTACTTGTTTTAATTTACCAATAAATCCTGTTTGGACACACCGAATAATGGAAGAGCGCCCAGTGGTAGCAGTGTTGATGATGAACTTGAAGGAGGGGCAGTGAATGTAGAGAATAAAATGGAGGAAATTCAGCATTTATATTGACTACTGTGTAATGCATTGCATTTTACTCTGCCTAATGCCAGATTATTTTACTCTGTCTAACACTAGATGATTTACTCATCAGGGGGAGAGTGCTGCTACATCAATGGGTTAAAAAACATTCAAATAAAATGTTTGGCAGAAGCTGCAAAATTGTATATTGGTGTCTGGTGTAATACTGACATTTTCTTGTCTAGTCTTGGCCCCACCCCAGCTTTCCTGTACTGCATGTGTTTTCCTCACTTCCCTGATTGTAGCATAAGTGTTAATTGGTATACCATGGACACCATCTTACCAGTTCTGCAGTTTTTTGACAATCTATGTATGGTTTTCATGATTTTCAGTGTATAGTCTTCCCCAACCTTGTACCCAGGGTTCTCTTTGTACAAAGAGAACCCTGGGTAATGAGGTTAAGTCTTCCCTTGCTCATCACAAATTAATAAAAAGATCACACACTACATAATTGATGTTTATAAAATTTATTTATTTTAATTAAAATCGAAAAAATATTAACATAATATTACTGTACTTAAAGATAATTAAAATGTTTTTAAGTTAAAAAAAATTTTATGTGCACAAATAAAGAGAAGTTTTTTAAAATGTCACATTACATTCATTTCACCATTACACATGAATATTATATGATTAAGTATTGTATTTGTATTTCAAAATCTTTACAGAGGGTAAACATTTCAGTAATCTACTGTTATCAATATGTGTCCTATCAGTAATCTACTGCTATCAATATTGTTCTATTATCAATATGAAAGATGATGCTTTTGCTCTAGCTTAGTGATGTATTAAAACAATCTAGAGGTGTACATAATTGGTAAACCTCTTCAATTGCAATCATTGCATGGTTATCTGCAACAGATATGAAATTCAATGAATGCTTTATCTTCCTCACATGTCCATTTATGAAGTTTTACTGGGAATTTCTTTGGTGGAGTCGGTTTAATCTTTCTGATAGGAAACTACAAAACAAACAGCAAAAGTGAGAGAGGCAATGTCAGTGCCAGCACCATTACACAACAACAAAGAAACTCATGGATTTTTACCAGGATTGTGGGCATGCTTCTCCAGGAAATTTGTGCACTATAGGTTTTCTGAAATGCCACTCCCAGCATTGAAAAATATCATTGGCGTACGGGTGGACAGAAATTGCCCGACATTGTCATGAGTTTATTGATAGATGAACAAGAGGTATAAAATAGAAGGAACATAACTCCTATCCAAACTTGCAGAAATACTGTTTAAAGTCAATCTTAAAACAATTGCCCAATTTTTAAAGCAGAATTCTGCCCAACTAAACACTGACTTGAGGGTTGCAACCCCAAGCCTCGTACAACTATGGACAGAAATTCTCACAGGCCAAAAAGCACTAAAATACAATGTTACTGTTACAAATTTATTCCCCCCCCCCCTTTAACAGCTCACTGTCTCATTAACCCATTGCATGAGTGGCAGCACTCTCCACTTGAGGAGTAAAATCGTCTGGTGTTAGACAGAGTAAAATACTAAAGTAGGGTGCATCAGGGCACATTGCCACTTAAAGGGTTTAAAAAATACAATGTTTTTGTACAGTCGAACTGTATTTTATGTTTGTAAAAACCTTTGTACTTTTATACCTTTGGTGATGTTCCAGGACTCTGAAACAAAGTTTGACTTGATGTTGAATTCTTCAAACGTGGAATTCTGTGTGTCTGACTCTTATTAAATTTCTCTGGGGTATCACCTTTAGAAGTATATACTCCAAAATAGCCGAATTCTATAATAAAATGAAAAAATACAGTCAGTGCAGCATAAGCACATCTAATCTTAAAAGTTACATTAAACTCAAAATATGTAGGAACATAATTATATGTGTATGTTTCAAAATTATCATGGAAATTGGCGGAAAATAGCTAGGAAAATTGTACAATAGTTTCTTTCGCGCCATGATGATTATCACGCGACTATTCCCGCCATCGGCGATAGAATATAGCAAAAGTACCCCATTTTCAAACCGCGATTACTAGTCAATTTCGTCGAGCTACTTTAAGTTTTAAAGTACTAATCCAAAGAACAAACTTTCCTTAATTCGATGGCGTGTTTTATTTTAATTTCCCCTCAAAAAAATGAATATAGCTTCTGCATTTTTTGAAAGCCACTTTTGTGGCGTGTCCACTGACCCGAATCAAGCATAATTACAAGGCGTAATTAACATAACTAAAAAACAATTCCTGTACCAAACAAGTCAAAAATAGTTTAATTAGGTTCTTAAATAATACAAATATAAAAACATACCTTTGAAAAAACGAGATATACGGAGCCAAAATCGCAATGTATTTCAACAACTTTTCGACAAATGTTCGTTGAAAATCGTAATTGTGAATAATAATGAGATGCAATGCATTGTGGGAAGACCCTCATTCCTCCTCTGGACAGCACCCAAATATTAACAAATTAAAATGTTGCGGGCTTTTCTCTGCTTATTCAAAACATAAACATTGTCTAAATGGCTGCGTTTTAACTCCAAACGAGCAAGCAACGCCGTCAGTAATTGCCAAATTTGCCGGTGCTCATTTTCAACTAAAATCGGAACAGGAAAATTAAGACGAATTTCAACAGAAAACCAGTCTCAAACTTCAAATCGTGAGGGAAGTCGTGCGACCACCTCAGCATTTATAATGTGTGCTTCCCTGTCGCCATTGTTATAAATAAATTGTCTCACTTATCAGATCGTGTGTGCAATTCTTGTTGGCGGCGGAAAGTACGAAATTTATTTCAGTTATTTCATTTGGTGAGAACTCTACAAAAGAAGAGAGCGTTCAAAGTCCAGATCGTTTAATGCCGTCTTCTGTTTTGCTCTTTCAGCGAAGCCTTGTAAATCGCAAAGTATTTTGTAAAGGCTTACATGCAACTGCATCTCAACATCAACCAAAAGATAATTTTCTTGAGGAACATATAACGTATCAAGTCTGTTTGAAATTAATGAAACTCAAGTAAAGGTTTAATACTATAGTTTACCCCAGTCGTATTAAATGTTGCTATTCCAACACCTCACGACAAGCAATCCTCATTAGCATAACGGCAAAAACATCTCTTCCTTCAAGTAAACAATAAACAGTCTGTTCTTGTTCCATTTGTAATCGAAATAAGTGATCGATTTTCGAATTTTAAGCTTATCGAGAGCCTTTGTCTATGCCTTTGTGATGAATTACTCACCTAATTATAGAATCCAACAGCAAACAGCCAATCAGAATGCCGCGTTCGCCCACGAACGCGGAAAGTACAAAATACCGGGCCTTGCTTGCAGGCCCACTATCAGTTCCCTTGGGCCTGCACGCGGGCTATTTTTTTGTAATCACAGTGCAATTTTCTGTAAATCACAGTGCAAAAATCTATAACAAACTGATCTGATTGG